CGGAGCGGGCAGGTGTCCCGTCCCGTCCCCGTGTCCCCCCGCCGCGGTTCGCGGGTGGGCGAGAGCTCCGTCTCGGCGCGCCGCGGTCCGAGGCCGGGCTCCCTTCCTCTTGCCGCGGGGAAGGGATTTTTGCGAATTAAATTTTCGCAATATCCGTTGGTGGGCCACCTTAAATCTAGCTGTATTTGCATGAAACTCGGGATATAACAAAACTGGATCGTGCCTTAGTTGTTTAGGGTTTAGCCTAGATTTGTATATATTTCTTCGTTAGCTGTAGCTGTTCCCTGTCGGTTGTGTACATGTGTAATGAGCTGAATTTGCCAGCACGTAAATAGATGGTTCAATGAACTGTGACTAGATAAAATAAAAAGCGATGAAATGATATTTGTCTGACATGATGCAAAGCTGACCTAAAGCCCCATCTAGGAAACTTTTTTTTTTTTTAAACAGCTAGACTTGTACAGTTGGGGTTCTCCAATACTTCAGCCGTTTGCATCAATTCCATCAGTTTTCATTTCGGCTGCAAAAAACATTCTAAGTTATGTTTAGAAATACGACAGATATCAGGTCTAAGATGCCTTTTACAATAATACTCTGTGTGGTCGTTCACTATTCGCTGACGTTTTTAAGAAGAGAAGCTGAAAGACTGAAATTTAGTCCTCAAAGGAGGAAAAAAGCTTATCATCCAGGTCGTTACAACGTAGAAAGCATGCTCAAGTGTGGCTTAGGGATTAAATAAGAAAGTTTAGCTAACGAGCAAATGCCGAGCTGAGACTTTTAACACTACCTCTTGGCTAGCTTTTAGAGGGTAGCTGAACTGGCACGAGGGAGAGAAATCCTCAGGGGCAGGAAGGTAGCTGCTGTGAAATGTAACAGCTGCCAGCACGTATCGCTAGTGCCGTCTCAAAAGGCAGAAGTAAATTTGAACCGAAAGCTGAGTTGTTGGGAGCCCCGTCCCAGAGGGTACGTTGCGCTTCACCCGCAGCGCCCAGCTGCTTCGCGTGGATGCTCTTTCTCTTCTCTGGGTTTTGCGTGATGTTGTCGCTTTTACGTGCGACTTTTTAGTGTTTGCACATTATCCACCCAGCCTGTTTGTGCCCTTTTCTGTTCACTCTGTGTCATGATCGTAACTGTCTAAAGATGGGGAGGAAAACACGATACGCAAGAGAGATCATAGCAGTCTCGTAATCTCAAACATCTTGGGTTTTTTTTTTTAAAGTCTGAGAAAGAACTGATATATAATGTCTTGGTAAGTATACCGATTTTATCTGTATCTGATTTGTGAGCTAATTGGGACAGTAATCTCTTGCCTCGTGTTCAGACGGTGCACGGTGCTGGAGTTTGTTCTGCAGGTCAGGCAATTTGTTAAAACCAGATAAACATTACTGCAAACTCATTCTTAGCCATATCTCGGAAATTTTAAAACCCTAGTGGAGCAATGCTCTTTTCATGACCGGCGTGCCTGCAGCGAAGAGCTCGGGCAGCTCAGGACCCCGAGGGGACATCTCCTCCCTGCACCGTGCCGCCTCCACGGTAGCTCCGCGTTGCTGAGCAGTCGTCGCAAAGCAGAAGTGTCTGGAGGGGGGAGGCTCTGGCTGGGGGATTTGTGGTGTCCGGAGCACCGGGCCGCGGGTTTCCCGCACCTCTGCCCGTTCGGTCCTGTGAGCGTGAGGAACCCAAACTCGGCCAAACTGGGGCCGAGCTCTGCCTTCCGCCCGGCAAAGCCGTCAGGTGCGCCGTCCGTCCCGCCAGCGCAGAAGCGGGCTGCTGCGAGGCCGTGCTCGTGGCGGCAGGGGAAGAGGCTACGGCGGCAAACTCGTCACCTCTCCCTGCAGCAAAATGTTGCTGATTAATGGGTTATTTGCCGTGAGCATCCCTAGATAAACTTCATTTATGCCAGAACTCACCAAGCGAGGTGAGCTGTAAACGATGACGTGAAATGTGCTGATCTGAGACTCGACAGAGTCGAGCAGAGCTGCGTTGCACCTTCGTTGCCTCCTTTGCCCAGAGAGCCACACGAGCTCTCCCTCGCACGCACCTACATGCCCACAAATAGTCAAAGGGGAAAAAAAACATCCCCTATTGTGGCAGATTTTGCTTCCTTTCACATCTGTGCACCATCGTCCCCGACATGCACCCTCACTGACGTCTGTCGAGCTTTAATGCGTTTTGTCTGTTGCAGATAGTCAAAGGGTTATTTTAAGACTGCAGATTGTCAGGTAGCTGAGACCTGCCCGAAACCTGGCAGCCTCGAGCGTCCCGCTTTGGTTCCGAGTTCCCAGTGTGTTGTGGAGACAGAGTAATTTGGGAAGTGGTCATACCCCAGCGCTGCCAGGCTGTTGTCATTGGTGAAAGCGTGTGCCCCTCAACATGAGCTTTGTGCCCATCGGCAGCGTGTGTTCTCATAAGCAATCTTGTCCCAGCTGTTACCTTCAGCCTTGCTTTCTCTGGTCATGTTATTTCAGTCCGCTTGTATCAGGCACTTCTGATGGTCAGGGTGTTACAGAATCTCACTTGCAATCTGAGATCATTTATCTGAACCATGAGACACTGAAAATGAGTGAGGAAAAAAATGTAAGGGTGTATTTTGCTCTTGCTTGAACTTAGGAAAATCCACATTAAGCCTGCTAGCTCCCTGCATGCAAGTGGATACGGAAATGAAATGGTAAATCTTCAAGAAAGAATGGCTGAGCAGACCTGGAAACCGAACTGTGGCCCTAGGGGCTGGCTGCTCTGGAAAACTCCACCTTCGCTACTGCCGGTCGGAACGGCGTGCAGGCGCAAACCCTTCGCTAGGAGCTGCCTAGTGTCCCAGGTGCTTTGGCACCAAGAGGGTGGTCCTGTCCTCAGCGAGGCGCGCGCCTCGCTTCGGCTTCCCGGGCTGGCCGGGGAACCTCGCAGTTCCTGGCAGCACCTTTGCACAGGCAGGGAGCGAGACCGGAGCCCTGGCATTTCCGGCTCTCCATAGCGATCCTTCATAGTCTTCAGAAACCATACATGGTATCTTTTCCAAGGCTAATAACTAAATGTTTTTATTGACATAACAAGTTAAAAAATAGTGCTACCTGTGAATGGAGGAGAGCAACGCGGAAAAACTGGGGGAGCTGACGAGCATCTGCTCATGCTCTGAGCAGCCTCTGCTGTGGGAGTCTTGCAAGCTCTGCGCAAAGGATCTGGGCTCTCTAACGGTTTGGGGGGGGTTGTTTCTTTGTTTCTCTTTTTTCTTCCCCCCCCCGGGAGAAAGGCTTCTTTGACCACCTCTTTAACTGTTTGAAGACCCATCCTGTGGACTTTCTCCTACAGGGCTCTGTCCTTACCCAGGCAGGCTGGGAGATGGGAGCCAGCATTTGCCACACTGTGCAGAGACAGAACTGAACAGTTAACTAATTACTAGATTTGGTCTTTAGATTTTAAACTGCATAGTGCTATTGCCACCTCCCTTTTTCTTCTCTACCATTTTAAAGAATAGCTGCTTTGGCTCCCAGGGAGCCAGACCTTGCACGGTATCTCCCCTCAGTCCTCTTGCTGATCACGGGCTGCCGGCAGTGGCAGCAGGGATGCATTTCTTACTGCTCCCTGATGTATGCAAATCCAAGAGGGCTTCAGAGCTTTAAGGCAGGGGCTTTTCAGAAGCTTCCAGCAGCGGTCTGAGCTCTGCCAGGCGTAGCCTCTGGAGGAAACGCTGCTGAGACTTCAGAGGAGCAAGGATGCAGCCACTACTGAGGGCTTCTGAAAAGGTGGCTCTTCATCTCAGAGCTTACGAACAGTAGTTATAGCTTTGCTGTGAATAGCTATAATAACACCTATCTAATACATTAGGTCTGTACAGAGCCACATCCCTCCCTAGCTGTTCTCCCCTACAAACAAGGGCGGATAGTTGTTTCTCCTGTTTAATAATTGTATTTTATTCTCATGTGCTGCTTTATGTAACTCACCTGACTTTTTCGTCCTTAGGCCTGAAATTCATTGCCAGGCAGAATCGTCATCGCCAAGGAAACATGACAGTCCTGTCTGATAACTTGTCGTGCCATCACGCCATCGATGACTTCCGAAATAGAGTGTACTCCACGTTGTACTCCATGATCTCGATCATGGGCTTTGTGGGAAATGGTGTCGTCCTCTATGTACTCATAAAAACATACCGGCAGAAGACAGCCTTCCAGATATACATGCTGAACCTTGCCGTTTCTGACTTTCTGTGTGTTTGCACGCTGCCTCTTCGGGTTGTGTATTATGTGCACAAAGGGAACTGGTTCTTCAATGATTTCCTATGCAGGATCAGTTCGTACGCACTGTACGTCAACCTGTATTGCAGCATTTTTTTCATGACTGCAATGAGCTTCTTCCGCTGCATAGCCATCGTTTTTCCAGTCCAGAATATCAACTTGGTAACGGAGAAAAAGGCTAAAATGGTCTGCGTTGGCATCTGGGTTTTCGTTACCCTGACGAGCGCTCCCTTTCTACGAAACGGAAGTTACCAACACGGCAACAAGACCAAGTGCTTCGAGCCTCCCGAAGATTCCCAGAAGACAAATCTCGTCGTGATCCTGGATTTTATTGCCCTGTTTGTGGGCTTCATTATTCCCTTTGTTGTCATAACTATCTGTTACACCATGATCATAAGGACCTTACTGAAGAATTCCCTGAAGAAGAATCAGGCTAATCGCAAGAAAGCCGTCTGGATGATAGTCATCGTGACGGCTACCTTCCTGGTCAGCTTCACCCCCTATCACATCCTGCGCACAGTCCACCTGCATGCGCTGAGGCTGAAGAAGGCCAGCTGCGAGGACGCCATATACTTACAGAAGTCGGTCGTCGTAACGCTGCCCCTGGCAGCTTCCAACTGCTGCTTTGACCCGCTCCTCTATTTCTTCTCAGGGGGCAACTTTCGGAAGAGACTCACCACGTTGAGGAAGGCCTCTTCCTCCAGCATAACACAAGCATTCAGGAAAAAGTTCTCCATAAAAGAGAAAGATGAGGAGCCCTTTGGAGAAAGCCACAGGGAAAATGGAAATGCATCTGAGGTCCCTTCGTAAGCGGGGTGCGTTTTCCTGCAGGATCTCAAACGGGCAACAGAGATCACAAACCTGTTTTGGTAAAAACGAACAAAGCCCACAAGTCTCTGTCACAGTTAGATATGTACTAGTTAGAGTGGACAGTCTCTGATTTATCCCGCTCGGCAGCGGCGCTAGCACGGCTGCCAGCCATGCCCGGGAGCTCCTCGGCGGCGCGCTCCACCGCTGGCCCCCGGCCGCCCGCCCCGGCCCGGACCCGCCCGGCG